AATAGGCTTTATATTTCTTAAACTACCTACATATGTCAAAGTACTTATGAATTTTGTTGGAATGAAATATAGCAAGACTTGTAATGGCTGGAGACGGCTTGAATGTGTAATGAAGAAAATCTTTAATATAAGTTTAACATAAAAGCAAATGTACAACGTTTCGACAAGGTTTTGTCATCATCAGGTATGAATGAATTGAATTCATATAGCAAGACTTGCATTGCCTACTAAGAAAGTTAGTAGCCGGAAGTCATCGGGTTAATAGATCTATAAAGTAAAATTTACTAACCACGTGCATACTGCATATCCTTGCCTGTCCACTTTCCTCACAAAGTCCGATAAAAAGTCATCATTTACATCCTTTTCCTCCAGCCACGACCATTTAAACTTGTTATTTACCTTTCCTGCTATGCTACGGATATCCGCCGACCTATCTACTTGTTTGTACATTTCATTTGATCTATTATCGCTTCGGTAAACAGTTAAACAGTTCAGTAAATAGTTAAGGCTCTTCAATTAGAAGAGTACACAATAGAAAGGTACACAAAAGAATGACCGCGTTTTCTAAAGCACGTTTGAGATAAAATCTCTTTCACATAACACGAAGTTTGCATTATAAGCATACAAGGTCTCGTACACGCCAGCAAGCATTGCGGGACTACAAAATGGCGGGGCCCTGTCGCCGAATGTAAACAAACCGCGCGATTGCATAAACGCTTATCTATGGCATAGAACACCAAAATCCGATAAATAATTTTAAAAATGTGTTTCCCCGGAAGAAAACCGGAGGTTTTCAGGATTTTTTAGAAATATCCGGAAGACTTTCATCATTATTGAATATAATAGATTAATAAAAACCAACAATTAATCATTCAAGTAGCAAACTCCCCTAATCACCCAGCCAATATTTATGCATACAATTTTCTCACTTTTAGCTGACATTCATTGGCTTGCAGACCTAGTCTATCTCTTAGAAGCATAACACCATCAAGTAGTTATTCAAGTTCAACACACACACACAGTGGACCAAAGGTGCAAAAGCAATGGTGTTAAGATTAAATATATAAACAGAAAGAAATATATATGCTATCAAACCTTTTCTGAACCAGAAGGATATTGGTGATATCCGTAATTCTGTTGTGAAATAAAATATTTTTTTTTCTTTACTGCTGATGAGATTTTCTATTGTACATATCCACTCAATATCACCTTGATGCTTATTTACTTTGATACTTAATTTCTTGTCAATTACATTAATTAAAAATTTTAACTTTTTTTTTTAGTTAATAAAATTGCTGAAATAGAGTATGAATAATTTGTAGATAAAAAAACATGAAGATGTACACGAGACACTGGAAAAGTACTCACTGGTCATGATGTATGGTTTTTCTTGTATTTGTCACAATGGGTGTTTACAAACTTTACAATAAATAAGTGTAAACTGTTGTAACTAGTGTATCAACAGTGTTTTGTTTATTATGGCAATCTTCAAAGAAGGTTTGCAGGTCTAGGCCTCAAGTCCCTAAATTCTCAATAACTTGCAGAAGTACTTCAATATTTTTCAATATAATGGGTCAATAGGTACACATTAGGCTGTGTTATAAAACACATAGCAAGCACCACGAACAATAATACTCTAAGTTAAAACAACAGCACTTCACATTATGCATGTATTGCAAGATTTTGTTAGTGAATGAGGCAATACTGAAAACAATTACTGTTCCTGAAATAAACAGCAATATAGTTTTTCCAAAATGTCCAAAACAATGGGACAACCTAACAAACAGAAAACTTCTTTCCTGTAGTACTGTGTACATTACAATACTTTTTCAATTAATCAATATTTCATTTTATTCTCCCCATTATTGTCATAAAAAGAATAAAACTATTTCAGAAAAGCTCGTGATTATATCAATGCAATTTTCAATTGGTTACACATACACATATAATATGCTCCGAGCCACATTATTTCTTGGGAAAAATTATTAATAGCTATTTTCACACACACACACCAAAATATAATAATTAGGTAATTTAAGACTACAGAAAATACTACATCTTATTCAAAGTGAAGAAAAAAGAGTCATGTTACCTGAACAGTTTTCCCAAGATAGTCACCCTTTCTTTCTTTATTTATCACATGTTGGTATATCTTTCCAGTAGTTATGTTGTTTTCCTTATGTAAGGTTATGTCAAGAAAGCGCTCATAATTCCCAAGATCCAAGTCAACTTCTCCACCATCATCTAAAACAAACACCTCACCTGTCAAAAAATATAAAAATATTCTCCAAAATACTGCTGATGAAAAAAGAAAAAGGTGATGTGTTCACTCGCATCAAAATGCATTAATAATTTATAAAATAAAATTGGAAACAGATTCTTAGAGATTCATTTTTGATAAAATGAACTTATTCACTATTACATTATTATTTACACTAATACTTTTCATTCATTCAATCCCTACTTATGTTTCATAAGAAAAGATAGTCCTTCATGTTAAAAACTGCACGAAGGCCATAAACAGCCTCCACCAAACATTCCATGAAGGGCTGTTAGTGGGTTGATGCTGTATCTTGATTCTTTGTTTACAAATTGGTTGTTTTAGAGTAAAGCCACATAGGACTATCTGCTGTGTCCACTGCAGGGAATTGAACCCCAGATTTTAGTATTGTTAAGTCCATAAAATTACTACTGTCCCACTGGGGTGCATTGTTTACAAACTAAGCAATAAAAGCTAATTTGTATCGACTGAATTATACTGATTTTTAATCAACAAAACAGTTTTGCTGACTAAACTGAAATATGTTTACAATGTGTCACTGAACTAATGACAATGTTCGATCAATATAGCAGCTCTTGGGCCTTGTTTCATTCAATTTGATAAAACTGTTCTTCTTAGTCTGAATTTGCTAATAATTAATAACCAGTTTGATAATTTAAAACATTGACTTAGTTTCTAAGTTACATATATTTGATATCTATAAACAATACAGTTTGAAAATGTTATATTACTATGTGTAACATAATCTGGCCAATTAAAATCATAGCAACCAACAGGGCTATACATTTATCTGTGATCTTGCCTGTGTATACAACCAGCTGATTGCATAGTCAGAGACCCCAAAACAGAAGGTGTCATGACAGACTTGGCAGGTGCACTAACAAACCCTTGCAAAACCTATTTTATGGGTGCTTTCAAAATCAATATGATAGCACCCATTAAACATGAAGGACTGGAAGACATAATTCACAATATATTTTTACACATCTGAAACAACTTCATCTTATATAATTTTATTGCTCTTTGTCAATAATACTAAAAAAAGTATAATATAGTTTTACCATGTTCATAGGGTGAAAATGTTCCTGCATCAATGTTGATGTATGGGTCAATTTTTATTGAAGTTACATGTAGACCACATGCTTTCAAAAGTGTTCCAACACTGCTAGCTATCACACCTTTACCAATGCCACTAATGACTCCTCCAGTAACAAGAATGTATTTCATCTTTTATTTTCAATAAATAAGCTGCAACATAAAAAAAGCTTTGGTTCAAATAACAGCACCTTAACATCAGTTAACACTTAAAAGCCATCTAATTCATACAAAAGCTAATGTCATCAAAAGGAAAAGAAACACATCAAGTACTTTCCTGTCCACATAAGATTAATACTACTTTCACAAGTCACGTACATCAGCGTTTCCCAAATGCCAGTCTGTGGACCAGTACTGGTCC